CACAGAAGTGTCAGAAGTCATCCACTTAATTTTCCCCATAACCCTCTCCAACCACGCTTGGCAGCTTTGATATTAACTTCATTTTTTAGGATCAAAAGGTACTTCTGTACGTTAGATTTCAACTTCTAGCTTGCACTTTAAGTGATATCTGAATGGTATTTACTTAAAAAAAAAAAAAAGATTAAGGCAATATTATATTCTTCCTAACTACCAACCTAAATTTCCTTTGCTGAACCTTGAAATCATTGCTCCTAGTCCTGTGCCATATGCCCTACAGCCACAGAGACTAGCTTATATCCATCCTTTTTATAATCATCCTTCAGGCATTTGGAGGGTGTTATCAAATCCCCCCCCTCGGTCTCTTCTTCCTCAGACTAAATAACTCTGATTTTTCAGCCTTTCCTCATAAGTCTCATCTCCCAAGACCCTGATAATTTTTGTTGCCCTGCTTCCATGCCCAGGCTCCCCGCAGCCCTGCTTCTGTACCCTTCTGCTGCGCCGGGGTCTATGCACCCCAAATGCCACAGCTTCTCTGGCACTGGGGTCCCCATGCTGAAGTGGGCCCCCAGTGATGCCTCCTCCTTCCCCCAAATAGCCTCACCCAAACCACTGGTGTTATAAACAGCAAACAAACATAAGCCCCTGGGCTATAACATAATACAAGAGACCAGCATGTGCTCTGCCCCTTTAAAAGCACTGAACTTAACCCCAGCACTAAGTATCTAGTAGGCAAGGGTACCTGCAGAGCTCATGAAGTCCCATTAGCCCTAGGTGCAATATATCAGGAAGGTGCTGTTTCACTGGCCCCTTCTTTCCTGGAGAATCCTTCCCCTCTGGCTACCAGCAAGGAACTACCTTCTCTAGCTCCAGCCTGGGGTTTATATGGGTCCAGGGCCCTGCCCCTTCTGGTCAGCTGAGCATGTGCAGGTGCACGCTAATTTGCCCTCTGGCTTGTTGCCCTGGTAACCTGCACCAGGGCGTCTGTCTTTCTCTTTGGGCTTTCTCCCCAGATAGTTTCTGCTCTTCTAGGAGCAGGGCACCTTAGTGCCCTGTGACATGGAGCTTGCCGAGACATAAACTTTACAGAGATGAATATCTATCCTTAACTCCTTCCTTGTACCTTTACCCTAACCACATCATTCTTTAGTTTTTTACGGCTTCCCAGCAGGTCAAACTTGCATATTTTCACCAAAATAAAGGGTCAGCAAAAATATGCTGTTTAACCTGAAGTTGAGAAAGAGACAGGCTCATTTCCTGCCATGCAGGCCCCTGGCAGATGTTAAAAAGTGGTTATGCCCTATCCCAAAAACTGCATGTCCTGTCATACCATCTGTGCCTCAGATCCCAACCACATGACTGCAGAGGCCAAACCGAGACTCAGGGCTGCCCCCCAACTGAATCCCATGAATTGTGCAGAGGCAGCTGTGTACTGGACCCCAGGGGTTGTGCTGTGCCTGATCCCAACACTCAATTGGCTGTTCTGAGCAATTCCAACAATCAGCTGACTGTCAGCATGGGCTTGGGACAGTCCCATATCTAGAACACATACATTCAGTTTAAGGCATGCCAACCAGCCACAAAGATATCACACAAATAAATTTGCACCAGAAATTGGTTGAACATATGGCACATTGAAATTTATATCATAATTAACACATTAATTGTGCCATAAATGTAATATCTGTGAAGCCCACCGCCACCCCCGCCCCACCTCCACCCACACAATACCCTAATCATTAATGCAAGAGTTATCAACATATTGGGGCAGAGTGCCAAAAACACCTGAAACCTTGACTTGTAAGATGTTGGCATGCCGGGGCAGACAGCGGGGCTGCCACAAGGGGCCCGATCCTTGTTGTGGCAGCACAACTCTGGTCCCTTCCCCACCATTTGCCATGAGGCTGCACAGCCCAGACTGCTCACAGCAGGTGGCAGGGAGGCTGCAAGCAGCTGCACTAGGATCCATTGCCAGCAGCAGGTACATGCATGCCTTGAGGCAAATGGCAGGGAAGGGGCTGGGGCTGCACTGACACAATAAGGACCAGGTCCCTTGTGGCTCCCCCACTGTCCTCTCTGAGGCACACATACCAAGCAAAATGCCTTCATGTGCCACACTCTGGCACACGTGCCAGGGGTTGCCTTACCCCTGTCCTAATGGTTAGAGACTGGCCCAGAAATGTGGGTAACCCATTTTCTGGTCCTTGTTCTGCCCAATTCAGAGTAACCTGAAATGAAAAACTATTCTGACATAAAGCTGAACAGGGGAATTTCCTCCTCAAATGTCACATCACAGGCCGGTGCTCTAACCCAGGGGTGTCAAACATATGGCCCAGTGGCTGGATCTGGCCTGCAGAGCCCCATAATCTGATGCTAGTGCTGCCCTGTTGACCCAAACACTGAGCTAGACCAGCCCTCTAGGACTGTGCAAGGCGTTGGACCATGCTTCAGATCCGGAGAAACTTCAGATGCTTTGGTGTCCGAAGCAGCATGTCCAGATTGAAGCACTGGCTTCGTTAGGCTTTCTGAAGCGGTTCAGAGCTTCTGAAGTGCTTTGGAAAAGCTTCGGAGCTGCCTCAGAGATCCGGCCATAGGGTATAATGGGGAACCAATGAAACATCTGTAACTTTGTTGTTTTTTGTCTGATTTGGATGAAATTTGCAGGGGTGGTAGCCTCTGCTGAGAGAATGAAGCCTGCCTAGTTTCAAGAAGATCAGTGTAGGGGTTCAGGGGAAACTGCACCCCACATTCTTGAAAGCAAAACTCATGTCATGTCTATGTGTTACACCACAGGGGGGTGAAAACTGCAGGGGTGGTAGCCTCTGCTGAGAGAATGAAGCCTGCCAAGTTTCAAGAAGATCAGTGCAGGGGTTTGGGGGGAACTGCACCTCAAGCTGCTGACAGGCAAAACTCGTGACATGGGTGACACTGTGTGTGTTAAGGCACAGAGGGGTGAAAGCTGTAGGTCTGCTAGCCCCTGCTATGGCCACAAAGCCTGCCAGCTGTCAAGGAGATAGGTACAGGGGACTTCTGGGGCCCTGCACCCCTACCTGCTGACAGACAAAACTCATGACATGGGTGCTTGTGCAACTGACTGTGTCTGTCTTGGGGCAGTTGATTATCTGTATTGATTATTTCCTCTCCTTAGTCTGTGGTTTTGTACGTGTTAATCCTTGCTTGTTAACTCATTATGTAGTAGCTAGGTACTGTGTATTGAGATGGCCCCTGAGTGAATCATGATTAATTGGTAACTGGTAACATAGTAGCTTAGCACCAAGGCCTGCAGTAGTGTGTTGTCCCCTCACCCCCCCATGCCCCAAGCCAGACAGAGTTGCACAAGCACCCGTCACGAGTTTTGCTTGTCTACAGCTTGAGGTACAGTTCCCCCCAAATCCCTGCACTTATCTCCTTGAAACTTGGCAGGCTTTGTGGCCTCAGCAGGGGCCACCACCCCCTGCAGTTTTCAGCCTGCTGCACCTTAACACACACTGGGTCATCTATGTCATGAGTTTTGCCTGTCAGCAGCTTGAGGTACAGTTCCCCCCAAACTCCTGCACCGAGCTTCTTGAAACTTGGCAGGTTTCATTCTCTCAGCAGAGGCTACCACCCCTGCATGTTTCATCCAAATCAGACAAAAAAACCCAAAGTTATAGATATTTCATTGATTCCCCATTATACCCTATGGCCAGATCTCCAAGGTGGCTCTGAAGCTTGGGAGCCGCTTCGGCCAGATCGAAGTGGGAAACCGATCCGGAACTCCAGATTGGATCCCTGGTGTCTGAAGTGGCCGGATCCGAAGCCAGATCAAATAGCTGCCTACTCATACAGACCTACAGCCCCTGTGCACAATGCCTGGGACATGGGCTGCCTTCAGTGCTCACTGGGCCTGGGCCTGGACCTGGGTTTGTGCTGCCCAAGGCACTTCCTCAGGCTAGGTCCCGGGTCTGCACTGCCCATGATGGTTGCTTAGGCCAGGTCCCAAATCTGCACTGCCCTGGCACTTGCTGGGACTGGTCCCAAGTTGTGCCACACAGTGCTTACTGGGGCTGGTCCCAAACTGGGCCAGGTAGGTGCCATGTTCACTGGATCAGGCATGTGGTTTGGGGGGGTCTGTGGGCCTGATCCAGCCCATGAACCAGCCCCTCATCGCTCATATGCCCATGAGGGATGGATGAGTTAGACAGCTCTGCTGTAACCTAACTACGAGGCTACAGGCACAACATTTTTGACCTGAAGATGGACATTTTGATATATCATTTGCAAAAAACATGGGAAACATTTTAGTCTTATTCTAATGTAAAATGGAGATCTTGGAAATCACCTTGGAATGGAATTGCCATCCTGCAGCCAGTCCTGCTTTCCAGGATTTACAGTGTCTTCAAGTACATGATATATGCCAGTCAGGGAATGCCTCCCTTTCTCGTACCTCTCATTCCAGTCTTAGATTCTGGGGTCTCCCACTCTTTTTCTCCTTCATTTCTAGTCTTTCAACCTGTCCTCTAGACTCAGTCTTCTTTTAGATCACCCCACACACATCCTTTCTTTTATTATACCTCAAACCCTTTCCTTACACTTTGCTGTTCTCAAAAATGGTCTCCATGTCACCACCCCAAAGCAGCTTTCTCCAAGTCATCTTCTGTTTGGCTAAAGAATGTGCTTCCTAAGCTCTTGGTATTACCATCCCCTTTTTTAACACCCTGTATGATTCCCTACAGTCTGGTTTTCAACCTTCTCTGCCCAAATCAACTTGTTGCAGTTGCTTCAGGCTTGTGGAAATTATATTAAAACTCACCCTTCCTCTCCTTTTTTTCCAAAAGAACTGTTTCACATGATTTTCTGCAAGCTTCTTTTCCATAAACCATAATGATAAAATGCTGAAAAAAGCAGATAAAACAACAAGTCTGAGTCTGATCCTATGCAAAGATATCAGTATGCAAAGGGTCAAAATCTGAAAAGGAAGTAATGGGAGTATCAAAAAGCAGAGAATATATATTTCACGGAGACCAGGAAGTTCCTCAAGATACAGCTGACAAACTGTGATAGTAACTTCATATGGTAAGCATTTCTAAAACTTTATACGTAAACTTCTGATATGCATTTTGAATGACACCTGAACCATATTCAGTTAAAAATTACTTTAATTATTTTGCTTAAGATCATTACAGTAAGAACAGTTGAAGTGATGCTGCCAAAGAAGACTTCTGCAGTGCTTACCTTCCTTGCATATATGGCGCATTATTTTGCTATTGTACCTTTAACAGGCTATCATGTTTGACTGCTTATTTACATGAACCATGAGTTGCCTCATTCTTTTGCATCTAACATCTCAGAAAAGGATGCCATTTTAAGACAGATTTTCTCCCTATTTAGTTTCTTTCAGCACATTTCTTTTTATTTCCAAAATCAAAGTTAAAGATCTTTGATTATATAGCTCCTAGATTCAAGAGAGCAAACATGATACACAGTCTTAATTTTCACTGAGCAGATTTATTTCAAACTTTGAATGTTCATTTATACTTATATTCCTACAGTGTGTGGCCATCTGGCCTTGGAATACTGCAACCTAATGTAATCTTTGAAAGTTATATGTTCTAATGCTAGGTCTAATTTCAGATGTGGGTGCCCAGCAAATCTATATTCAGCCTGTACAGAATGGCAGTTTTTCAGAGATATTGAATACAGCAATTTCCATTAATTTTGTTCCAGGACAAATATTCAGTTCCATTGTGGCTTGAGATACCCTACTATAAAGGTTGCATTTTCCTATGACTACACAGTTAGTACTGGAACTGTGTTGCTCTTGCCCACAAACTGTCTGTTGAAGCCACAGAGGGAACTGAACACACATTTGTATTGTTTCAAGCAGCATAGAAACCCTTCTGTGTTAACAGGGAGAACTGCACTTCTCCAAAAGTTCACCCTGCTTGTAGAAATGGATAGGATGAGCTAAGCCATTTGGACACCGCATACACTCTTTGTAGTGTATTATGTGTGACAATGCTATATTGATTCCTTTATTTCCTGTGGTACTAAACAAGAACACTTTTGTTTGCAAATAAGATGCTTTTATTTTGCGGTGGTGTTTTGAGAGCAGTCAAAAAAAATCTACGTTAATTCTTTTCCTTTTTGCAAGGGATCTGTAAGATCTTCCTTATAAATTCTGAGATGACTTGATCTCTCTAAATATTAATTACTGATATAAACAAATGTTATTTTTAATAAAAAAAATATTGTATGTATTTTAAAAAGCAAAGCAAAGGTGGTTATAAAATTTAAACCAAAACCATAAATATAATCCTGAGAGCAAGATAATGGAAACTGAATAATACTAAATTATACACACATCCGCTATCCTATCTTAGGTGACAAGCATGAGTCATTTTCCCCACTCTGAGCCTCAGTTTCCCCATGTGTAAAATGGAGGTTAATGATACTGTATTCTTTAATAAAGACTTTTCCAGTCTAAAGGAAAGGGGCATGTTAGTGCTGGGAATTAATACTCATCATCATATCAATATTCAAAAGCAAATAAAAATCAAAAGGGTCCAAGCTGTACTTATGCTTATCATTATGAATCCAGAGCAAATCTAGTAAAATGCATGGTCTTGCTCCAGATTTACACACTTGTAACTAACCAGTATTATTCCCCCATCTTGAAAGCTGGCCTGCCCCTTGCCATAGAAAAGGACACTTCACTCTTAAATTAATTACATTTCTTAAAACAAAACATATTTTTCTAAAAAAAAAAGAACAAAAAATAGAGGGAGATAGGTCATCAGTGCTTCAGCTTTGAAATATCTCCAATTCTGTCTTGCTGAAAAGGTAACAAAATTTGTACAGGTGGAAATAGGTATATGATAACAAGTAATTGAACTCCAATTGTTGTGAAGCTTATAGGCACAAAAGCTGTCATCTCATCTACTCAAACTGCAAAAACATCACTGCTACTTACAATATACACCACTAAATTATGACTATTTAAAAATACACTAAATAAGTATTACCAGTCCCTTAATTTAACAGCAGTTCAAAGCACCATTCCATAGAGGCATCTAATTACAATTTACATTGTATGACATTATTACATAATTGCACTACTGCTGCTTTTTTTCTAGACCATACTGATTTCACAATGGGCTCCATCAGTGCAGCAAATGCTGAATTTTGTTTTGACCTATTCCGAGAACTGAAACCTCAACACATAAATGAAAATATTGTCTACTCCCCACTGAGCATCATATCAGCCCTGGCCATGGTCTACTTGGGTGCAAGAGGAAATACTGCATTGCAGGTGGAAAAGGTAAACTTAAATTAGTTGAAATGTCTGATTTGGATTGAAGATCAATAACATAGCAACTGTTTATCCATTGATTTCCATATGGATAGGATGACTATTCTAGTTTCAAAATGGGACACCTGACTCTCTCACATGCTCAGTTATCTCTGAGCTCTGATCTCAGCCGGAATATGCCAAAGAGTGGGAGTGAGGAGAAGAGTGAAACAGTCCAGTTTTTTGCTCAGATGGTTCCATTTTGGGCACGAGAGTTCAGTGTCCCATTGAAAATGGAACAAAAATGTTCACCTGCCTAAAACTGATGGGACAACTAAGACAAGTGTCCTGAAATCAGAACATATGGTCATCCAGTATATGGGAGAAGTTCATACACCCCAATGATGGGCCACAGAGACAGTCTGGAACACTACTCGGTGGGTGTGTCTACATGTGCCCCTATGGCGCAGTAACAGTTGTTACTGCAATGTGGCAGTGGTGCACAGTTATTTTTAGCCAGTATGTCAGGGAGTGTGTCACTACAGCAATGTAGCTGAAGTGTTATGGTTTTTGCTCACCAGTGCTACATGGCCATAGCACATTGTATGGTGACATAGTGTCTCATGTAGACGGGCCCAGCTTTTCCTAAAGCTGGAGGCCATTCCAAGGTTTTGGTTTTACTTGTTATAGAAATGGGCCAATCTTGTAACAAGATAGGTAAAGCATACAAAGAGGTCAGGATCAAATCCATTTTGACTGAGAATAGTCTCTTGGAAAGGATGAAATCTAAGTACAGGATCATATTCACATATTTTGAACAAATCATCCACAGAAAAGAACTAATATTAAGCTCAGTTGGAACTTCTGAAAGTTTCACTACTCAAACTTCAGCACTGCAATAAGATCTCAGAAAGTAAAGAAAGTATCATAAATACATATTGCTTGACTTTAATTCATGAAAGCATGGGGTCATGCCTCAGGAAACTGGGAATCAGGAAAAATAGAAGATGGTGGAGGAAATTTGATGGAGTGACACATGAAGAATGAGGAGTCATTAAAATTCTGATTTTACTGACTTAAATGAAAACAGGAGCAGATCCTAATCTAAAACTCAGCTAAATTATGTTCAGGCACTTAATTTGTAAGTTATATTTTTAACTGCAGGTACTTCATTTTGATGAACTTACAGGACTTGAAGGCCCTTCAAAAACAGAGGTAAAGAAATCTCATCTTCCTTCTTTTGTTCATCAGAGCAAACAGTAGAGCTGGTCTGAATGTGCTTCCAAAAGGTTCAAACCTTCTTGTGTTAAATCAGATTATATGAACTGAGCAGACCCAAGAAAGAACCACAGCTTTGTTTAAAAGGATAGAGAATCAAGGCAGGTAGTTCAGTGTGGAGAAGTTCAAGAAATAGGAGAGGGACAGAAGTCCTGGGAAGCCCTGGGAAAGCAGATAATTTTGTAGCCATTTACGTGCTGGGACAGAGCAGCAAGATGACAGTGATTGATGGACTGGTCTGATTGTTAGAACTACTGCATGGCCCAAATTAGAGTTGTTGCACGTAAGTCTACAGGTCTCCAAGAGCAACATAATAGGAAACAACACAGAAATGTCAAATCATGGTAACTAATTTTACTGACAGAAACAGCACCTTTGGTAACGTAGGTTTTAAAGAGTGATCCATGATATTAAAAATGATGCTCATTAATGAAGAATGTTGAAATATTCGGATATTAATTATAGTAGTGTCTATTGGGCACTAAAACATTTTTGGACACAAATCTCTCAGTAGAATATGTTAGCATTGTAAGTCAGCCATGTTACCCATATTTCTTAGATAATTCTCTATCACAAATAATCCAACACACACTTTTTAATCGTATTTTATTTTTGCTGTCAACAACACAGTGTGGCGAACCTAAAGGCATCCATTTTAAGTTTAAAGACCTTCTCTCGGAAATCAATTCACACAGTGCTAATTATTCACTCAGGATGGTCAACAGACTGTATGCTGAAAACACATATTCAATTCTGCCGGTGAGTTATAGTAGAATCTGTCTTTGGTGTGATTCCTGGTTGAGCTATGTGGGAACCTACAATCTAGAAGCTCTGCAAAAGATTTGAGATTCATGCATCATATTTTATTCCACAGTTTTGTTTCTTGGTCATAGTCCTGACTATTGCAGGGCCCTGTGGGGTTACCTTGGCAAAAAGTTTATTCAGTGCATAATAATGGTACAAAAAGTAGAACACAATACTCAGTAGAGCACATGAAGAATTTGACCAAAAACCTGAGACAAAATACAGAATCACCAAAACCAAAACTGTCTGCATGAAAGGGTAGATATCAACAACTTCCTTTACTTGAAAAAGTTGTTAATATTTTTTAAAAACTTGAAATTGACAAATATTTCACTTTGATGTCTTTCAAATAAAATATTCAAGTTTTAAAGATATTTGTATTTCATGGGATCATAGTAAAGTAGGGCTGGAAGGTACATCATAAGGTCATCTAGTATAACACGCAGCTCAAGGCAGGATCATTCCTGACTAAAGCATCCACTCAAGTGTCTGTCCAACCTGCTCTTGAAATTTTCGGGGAGGGAGATTTCACACCTTTTCTCGGTAGCCTGTTCCAGTGCCTGATCCCTCACAGTCAGGAAGTTCCTTCTAGTCTCCAATCTAGATTCCCTCTGCTGTAGTTCAAAGCCACTGCTCCTAGCCCTGTCCCCTATGGCCACAGAAAATAGTTCATTTCCAAATTATCAAATCCCCCATCAGTCTTCTCTTCTCCTGACTAAATAACCCTAATTCTTTCAGACTTTCCTTGTAAATCATGATTCCCAGAGCTCTACTAATTGTTTCATAGATTTCATAGATTTCATAGACATTAGGGCTGGAAGGGACCTCAGAAGATCATCAAGTCCAGCCCCCTGCCCCAGGGACAGGAAGTCAGCTGGGGTCGTAGGATCTCAGCAAGATAAGCATCCAAATTTCTCTTGAAGGCATTCAATGTAGGTGCTTGAATCACCTCCAGTGGCAGGCTATTCCAGACCTTGGGGGCTCAGACAGTGAAGAAATGTTTCCTTATGTCCAGCCTGAAACAGTCTTGCTGAGTTTATAACCATTAGACTTTGTCATCCCTTGGGTGCTTTGGTGAACAGTCATTTCCCCAGATCCTGGTGAACACCCCTGATAAACTTATAGGTCACCTCTGAGCCTGCGCTTTTCCAAGCTAAAGAGCCCGATAGCTCTCAGCCTGTCGTCGTAAGGTCTGTTTTCCTGACCTCTGATCATGCGCGTGGCTCTTCTCTGGACTCTCTCAAGCTTCTCCACATCCTTTTTGTTCGGAATACTCTGCACTGGTCCGGTCCTGCAGGGAGCGAACCAGGAAAGCCAAGGCTGCGACAGAACTCCAACTAGCTACGAGCATCAAGGACAATAAAAAGTCCTTTTTTAGATACGTGGTGAGCCGGAGGAAAAGCAAGGGCAACACTGGACCCCTACTAAACCAGATGGGACAACTGACAACTGACACCCAGGAAAAAGCCAACCTATTAAATGGGTACTTTGCGTCGGTCTTTCATCAGTCCCATGGGATGCCCCTGCCCATTACGGGACAGGGAGGCCCAGGTGAGGGAGATTCCCTGCCCTCCATCAATGCTGACCTTGTGAGGGAACACCTTGAGAGGCTGGACACCTTCAAGTCAGTTGGCCTTTTTGTAGCAAGCATACACTGTTGGCTCATATTCAGCTTAGAGTCTAGTGCAGGGGTAGCCAAAATATGGTCCATGGATGGGATCTGGCCTGCCAGGTGACTGGGTCCGGCCCACAGCTGCCTCCACAGTGCTCCACATGGGGCCATGCCCTGCCCGCTTGCACCAGAGCAGCCTGCGTTGGACTCCAGCTGGTGCCCACTGCCCTGGGGCCCAGACAGCACACAGCTTCTGCCGGGGCTGTTTCCTGTACAATTGCAGACAGGTACTACTCTGCACCCCACCCCCTGGGAGCTGAAGCCAGAGCCCGATGTGCCTGCTGGGAGTGGCACAGCATGGTGGGGCAGGAGCGAGAGGAGAAGCTGCAGCTGGAGGCAGGGGGCTGTAGCTGCACCAAGAGCAGCCCGCCAGAAGCTGCTCCTGCTCCTTACCCTGCTGCACTGCACCATGCTGCACCATGCCATTTCAGGTGGGTGGGTGGGTGAGCAGCTTCAGCCAGGTGGCTCCTGCCCCAGCACCAGGGCTCTGGCTTCAGCCCCTGGCTAGCTTCCCAGGAGCTGGAGCCCGAGCCATGTGTGGTGGGGCAGGAGCAGGAGCAGCTTCCAGCAGCCTGTTGCCAGGGTGGTTGCAGCCAGCCTCTCCTGCCCCTCCTGAACACTGCTCCCATCCACCCACTGCCCCAGCATAGGGAGTTTTGGTGAGTTGTTGAGGGGGAGGGGGCTGGGGTGGCAGTGCTGACCTGGCCCATGACAGCTAATCAAAACTCCCTATGTGGCCCTCAGGCCCAAATAATTGCTCACCCTTGGTTTGCTGTTATCCTCAAGCCCTTATTTTCAGTACTGCAGCGTAGCCAGTTCATTCCCCCAATCTGTATTTATGCATGCAATTATTCTATCCCAGTGCAGGACTTTGTACTTGTCCTTGTTGAATCTCATCCAGTTGTTTGCAGACCATTTTTTCAGTCTATCCAGCTCATTCTGGATCCGAGCCCTACCTTTCAGAGTGTCTGCAACACCACCCAACTTTCTGCCATCTACAAATTTGCTAAACGTGTGCATGACCCCATCATTCAAATCACTGGTGCTCAACCTTGTTGCCCTGTGGGCTGGATAGGCAATGCCCAGTCCCTCCACAGGCTGGATCCAGCCAGTGAGCTCAATCCGCTGCGTGGGAAGGGGGCATGGCCCATCCCCAATCCAGCCATGTGGGAGAGAAGGGGAGGTGGACCAGCTCCGATCCAGCTGCATGGGGGAAGGGAATGTGGCCAAGTCCAAGCCCCAACCTGGCCACACAGGGCTTGGGAATTTGGCAGCAGGGGAGGGGTGGCAGTATTAATTTCTGCTGCTCTCCTGCCACCACATTTCCTGACCTGTGGGGAGCCCCGCAGCCCAGATGCCATGGCTCTGTGGGATGGATTTGGCCTGCAAACCAGGGGTTGAGCCCCCCGATCCAAATCACTGATCAAGATATTAAACAATACCAGATCTAGGACAAACCCCTAGTGAACCCCACTGGATCCTGCCTCATGATTATTTGAGACAGAATTTGAAATCCTTTCCAGTCTCATCCCATGATGTTTATTTTCTGTTCAGCCTTAATAATCAGCTTCTTCAAGATAAGAAGAAAGGACACAGCAAAATAGCTTCATTTTAAAGTGTTAGTGTTTCTCTGATCACATTGTCATTTTAAAGTTGGAATTTGTTTTGATTATCTGATTACCTTGATGATTGTAGCTTCCCTCTTTACAGCAATACTTAAAATGTACAAACAAGTTGTACCAAGCAGGCCTGGAAAGTGTTGACTTTAAAAACGCTGCAGAAGAATCCAGAAGGATAATTAACTCGTGGGTGGAAAACCAGACAAATGGTAAGGGTACAGTAAGTTTTAGCTGTTTTTTGTTTGTTTTTTAAACCATATTTGACTAAGAACCTGAGGAAATTGAAAACTATTAGTTTTGACCTACAAAGAGCGTAATGAGTCAGGATCTACTTACCTTTGAGAACCACGCCCCCTCCCCCCCACTACTACAGGTTAAATCAACACAGGGTCTAAATGGTTGGAGGGGAAAGAATAGAATTTGGCTTCTCCTAGCTTATGTGCAATCATAT